ATTCTATAGCTTTATTATAAATAATAATTATTATTTTTTACTTAATTAACTTATTCTTTAAGTTTATTATATTTATTATTATACTTAGGTATTTATCTTAAGAGTTCTTTAAGTATTTTAGGTATTTTTATATATCCTAGGATATACTTTTAGAACTTCTTTAATTATTAACTAATTTTATTTTATTCCTTTAAAGATATCTTCCCTCCTTAAGAGTAACTTATAATTTATTCCCTTTTATTTATAAAGGTAATTCCTTATTCCTTATTAATTTCTTTATTTTTAATTAATAATACTATAATAGCTTATTCTTAATATTAATATTTATTCTCTTTTTAGTTTTATTATTATTTAAGGGATTTCTTAATATAGTTTTTATTATTATCTCCCTCTCTTATTAAGTTAAATACTAATTATTTTATATATTAATAATTTAGGTATTTCTAATTTATATATTATTTAATATATCTTTTATAATTATAAGCTATTTAATCTTCTTAAGCTTTTTATTTATATTATAATTTAATTTTATCTTCCTTATAAATTTTATATTATTATTCTTAATATAGCTTAATTAATAATTCCTTAAATTTATATTCTCTAAGGTACTTCTCTAAGTCTTCCTTAAAGATAAAATATTAATTAATATTAAGTAACTTATTTATAAAGTAAAGTATTTATTTATTAATATATTTAAAGGGTATCTTTTTATTAAGCTAAGAAAAGGTATTATTCTTTATTTTCTATTATTAATAAATTATATAAAAGATATTATAGTATATTATCTATAATTCTATATAGTAATTAGTTTTAAGGATACCCTTTTAATAACTTAATAACTTAAAAAGGCTATTTAAGTATTAAATAATATCTACTATTTTTTATTTATAAATTATAAGTACTATTATAGTAAATAGATTTTATTACTTAATTTTTAGTTAATAGTATATATATACTTTTTTATATTCTACTTATATTATATTTCTTACTTATAAGTATTATTTCTTTTCTTTTAGTATATATTTAATAAACTTATTATAGTATTAAAATACTAATTTATATTTAGTTAAAGGATTATATTCTAAGTTAATCTTACCTTTTTTATATTTCTTTTTTATATTTTAGAAGACTTCCTTAATTTATTATTAATTTTCTTTTACTATACTATCTTTTTATTATTCTTATTCTTTTAGTATTTTAATAAAGATAGATATAAATATTATAGAAAATTTAAGAGCTATAATACTTATAAGTATTCCTTCTTAAACTATTTATTAGATTATTCCTAAGGTTTAATTCTTAGTTTTTCTAATTATTCCTAACTATTTCTTATTTTCTTTAATAAGCTTTTAATTATATTACTTTTTAGGTTTTAGATATTAAAGGGATATATACTCTATTTCTCTATAATTATAGTATTTCCTTTTTTTTATAATCCCTAGCTTTATAAGACCTAAGTATATCCTAGACTCTATAAATAGTAATAAGACTTATTATACTCCTTAGTTAAGTTTATTTCCAATTTTAATATAATTTTAATTACTTTATCCTTTTCCTCTTTATTACTTTCTCTTATAGAGATAATTATTAATTTATATTACTATAGCTATATATTTAATTAAGTCTTTTAGCTTATTTATCTTAAAGAGTTAGTCTTTAACCTTATCTTTAAGCCTATTATAAAATATAGACTTAAGTAGTTTATTATCTTAGTCTAATTAGGATATAACTTCCTTAAACTTTATAATATATCCTAAAGTAGTATTAGTTTATTATAAATCTTTAAGTTCCTTTAAAACCTATTATTTATAATTAACCTTACTAAAAGCTCCTATAAGTATAATAATAAAGTTTTTATAGCTAATAAGGATATTAACTATATTTTAATCTTAATTATTTAGTTTAGCTTTATTATTATATTAATTATAGAGGAATACCTAGAATTATTATCTTATAGTACTAGTAAGATAAGTTCTTATAAACTTAACTTTATCTTTATCTTCCTTAAGCTTTATTAAAAAGAACTTAAAGTAAGCTTAAAGTTAGATTTTAAATCTATCTAATTCCTAGATATCTCTAGTAAATAGTCTTAGTAAGGTTAATTATATTATTTCCCCTTAGTCTTTTACTTATTTCTTTTTAAGTTCTTTAATATATACTAGGAGCTATTTAATTATCTACTAAATAGTTAATATTCTTATAGTATTATTTTATTAAGCTAGAGTTCCTAGAGTAATTATATTATCTTTTATTATTATATAGTAATTAAGATAAAGTAATTAGCTAAATAAGAGTTATTAATATATAATAGTTAAGTAACTTATACTAAATAGAGATCTAAGGTAAATTAAGGTTAAACTAATTAAAGTATTATTTTAAGTAATATAATTAAGTTATCTAGGTACTATATAAGTTATTATTAATATATAAGTACTAAGGAGCTAGTTTTAATAAAAGTAATAATAATAATATTAATAACTATTTAAGAGAGTATTTCTATTTAAGAAATATATATATATATATAGTAAGGCTATTACTATCTTATTACTAAGTTATTACTCTATTAAAGTAATAGGCTAATATTATTAATCCTTAAGGAGGAGTTATTAGTTTACCTTATATATAACTTCCTATAGCTTAATAGAGGCCTTTATTTATAATATATAAGGATTTACTAATTTAATAAAGTAAATATTTATATTTCCCTTTATAAAGTAGCTTAAGGTAATATTCTATTTAGTATAATAAAGTTATATAAGCTTATTATAATATATATAACCTTAATTTAATTAATAAATATATATTTAGAGGTATTATTCTTAATAATCTTTTACTTTTACTTATAGTAACTAAATATTTTCTTAATCTAGCTCTATAGCTAGATATAATAAAAGTTAAAAAGCTCTTTTATATTATATAGTTACTTATTATAATCTTAGAATTTAAAGAGGTAATATATACTTTTAAATAGAGTTATTATCCCTCTATAAAGCTTAAACCTTATATTTATAAAAAGGAAGTAATTTAAAGGGATTTAAAGGGATTTTAACTTTATATATATAAGTAATATTAAATTATAAATTAAGCCCTTACCTCTAATTAATATATAAGTAAATAAGCTATTAAAGCTAATAATTATAAATATATTTTAAGATATATTATTCTTTTTTAATTAAAACCTCTTTTAATTAATTAAAGGGATAAAAGCTAAAATATATATTTTATTAATTACTTTAATAGCTTTATTAAACTATATAAACTTCTCTTAAAGCTTAACCTTATAAAAGAGGTAAGTTAAATCTAATTACTTTATAAAGAAGGTATATAGCTACCTTATTAAATTAATAACTTAGTAAAATATTATTAATATACTAAATTAACTAATTTTAAATCTATAAATTATATTCCTTTATAACTTATTAAATATATATATTTATAAAAAGATTATTATTTTAAATTTAATAATTTAATATTATAAATTATAAAGAGATATATTAAGCCTTAATTACTTATAAAGGGAATAAAAAGTACTTTTTATTATATAGAATAAATTATAAAACCTCTCTTTTAGTAAAAAAAGAAATAACTCCTTAAAATTTACTATATCTTTTAAATTATTATAATATAGCTTTAAGAGGTATTTATTATTAAAGATATTAAAGCTATAATATTACTAAATAACTTTATTATTAAAGTTACCTTTTATTAAATTAAGGATAAATAAAATAACTATAAGGTTACTTTTAAACTTATTATTCTTAATAATCTACTTAATAACTTATAGAGAGAGGTCTAAATTTATTATTAATAAAAGTACTTAATATTATAAGTTAAGCCTTAAGATCTTAAGTTTAATAATTATTAAAAGTTATATTTAATAGCTTATTAATTATTATTAAACTCTTTATTAAAAATACTTATTTTATAATAAAATAAGTAAAGATTCTTAATAATTAAGCTTTTTATAAGTATCTTAGCTACCTTTACTAGCTTAATACCTTAAAGTTAGAGGTATAATAAGATAATAGTAAAATTATAAAAGGTAGACCTTATATACTTTAATTTATATATAATCTATATACTAATTTAGGAAAGGTTAGTAATTTTTATATAATTATACTATTTAGTAGTCCTTTAGCGGACTTTCCGATCACACCCTATGTGGAACTAAACGGTCATCCAGCTGCGAAAGTGAGCGGATGTGGAGCAAGACTGAGAGGCCTAAGAAAAGGACGGACGGTATGTACCGAGACTGAAAAAGGCTAAGAAGAATCGGGGAGGACGATGAGAAAGCCAAGTGAGCTTATATCGCCCAAGGCTCGGTATTTGGCCAATCCATAATAAATTAGCGCATTCCTCCCAGAAAAGCTCCGAGTGATGAACAAGGAGGTTTGCAACGACCTCCGACCGCTCTTGTCTCACGACATCCTCTCGTGCACCAGAGGAATCTGGCGAACTAATCCTTCTCAATGCTCTCCCCTCACTGGAGGATTCCGGCTCGGTTGGCGGAAGTCGGGCAGCACGCAAGCAAACAAGCCGAGCCCATCCCGAATGCGACCATTGTTCTGCCTACGTTACCCTACGATTGAGCCCCTTTTTGCCTCAAACCTGAGCCTGCGACACATAACGGCCGAGAACTTTCTGTGTATAAATACTCCGAGGGAAGGTCTTGGCTATCGCCTCCCGCGGGATCCAATGGCTTGAGATATGAGTGTCGAAGGATTTAAGATGAGGGCTCAGGATTACGCGTCACCTCCCATATTCACCAGTCTCATGGTGCCGTCCATCTTGAATTGGCCCCGGTCAGTAAAGCAGACCTAACCTTAATAAGTCCAGAGAGCGCTTCTGGCCCCCACCCCTTTCAAGATCCTGATTCGCGCTCTCGGTCGTGGTACGATACAACCCCCTCAATATCTGGGGTTTTGTCATGTCACAGAACGCCAAGCCTGTGCCTGGCTTGTTTTCCCTTGAACAAGCTTCTTGCGCCATAGAGCGACAAGATGGCGAGTGCTCGCTTTGAACAAGGCAAGTCGGTCGCTATAGCATGTCCCACTGCAGATTATAAGGTCGCAGCAGGGCATCTGGCGTACGAATGGATCCCTCGCTGGGCTGGGGACCTTTGCAACCTGACTCATGGGAGATGGGGAGCTGCTCATATTAGGAAGGTCCCGTTTCAACTCAGAGCCGCCAAGCACGCGCTGCTTCTGATATCCTGTAAGGCTGCACTGCGCTCCGCTATGGTGCATCTGAATGCATCGCTGGACCAGCTGAGAGGAGACCACGTCACCTGTGCTCGCCGTGAACAGCAACACAAGAGTACGCATATCCGAGTACACATATCCGTGAGTTTGATAAGCAGCGTTACGCAGTGCGACGGCTCTGGACTCGAAATACAAGCGATGCAACGCCGCTTCCATGCGCGAGGCAGAGAACTCTGAAAGAGGCATCTCCCCAACAACATCGATGTGAGCTGGCCGGGGATTAGTCTGGCTTTGCGTTCGGATGTCAATGCATTCCCATCATCCACTTCATATCCACTGATCCATCTATATTCACTCAAAATCTTCAGGGAACACCGTTGTAAGACGCCCCCGGCATGATCCGACTGCTACTGAGCATAACAACTCACTCCACTCCTTTGGCTCTAAAATGCATTCTCATTACATAGTAATAAATGATGGACCTCTCCGGCGCCGGGCCCGGGCTGAGCGCTGTTGATTCTGAAATGCTCCCCGGGCCTTCTCCTGCCGGAGTCGGCAATGGCCGGTGCGGGTAGGCGCTTGATCCCAAGAAGAAATGGCCAAAATAGGCTCCTTCTCAAGGGACTCGTGACCATTGATCTGATATGCTAAGAATAATAATCAAAATCTAGTATTCACCCAAGGGTCGCGCGGCTAATGCAGACCGATCAGGGATCTGCATGAACAACAGCAGTCAAGGATTCGGGCTTTTTTGGGAAGAAGGATGACTTTTGTTGTTGTTGATGCTACCAAACCGACCGCTGGGTACGCCGTAATACTCTCTTCATCACGGCCAATAGCCAGCCCAGGTAGCATCCAAATTACGCCGTCTATCTCTTGGCTTACACCTCCCCGCATCCCTGATATAGACGAGTTGCCTTGTTGACTAACGCATTCCACTCGCCTGGAGGGAAATATGCCCAGAAACCTTCTGATCTGCCCATTTCGCGCCGTTCGGATGGTCGGGCTTCATAAAGAAGCGTTCAGACGACTGAAGTTCCCTAGATCAGTAGCGTTGGCGAGCACGAGACGAGTGGGCCGGCCACAGACGTCAATGGAACCTTCTTTAATAAGGTTGCAATAGTGCCGATAGCTAAAAGGCTGTTATGCCTCAAAAGTCCAGCGTTGTGTCGATCGGTGGGACCTGCTAGACCGGCCTCGTGCCAGAGAGGGTGTCATGTTCATCAAGGTACTGGGCGTATACTCTAACTCTGTGCCGTTTTTCCCTTGCGGAGAAGCTGTGATCCCGCTCTGGGCCAACGCTACGGAGTACAGCGGCGGTCGAGTCAAAGCTGCGTTCCTTGCTTGCTACCTGGTTGGGAGAGGTTTCACTCGCCACGTCCATTTTGGTGCTCGCGGTTGAGGAACTTTGGCACCCAAATGCCATGGACCCCTGTTCAATCGGGCAGCTGGCAAGGGGCCCGTGATGTGATGTCACTCGCTTCGCGATGTAGGCGGGGAGCAAGGCACTCTTGTGCGGATTGAGCTGTATTGCCTGCAGAGATCTGCCTAGATAGGTCTCGTCTCCAGCTTCAGCCTCTCCCCAGCCCGTTGGAAGTAGGTGGTACTGCATCCAATGCATTGATAGAGCGGGATAAACGGAACATGCCGTGACAGTCCAACCAGAAAGCCCAGCGTGAAGCACTTGACTTGCATGTCAATCACCCGTACGGATATCGCTCTTGCAACTGAAGCATTGGCACACCCTCTCCGTGATGAGCGCCCACGCAGAGGGGGGAGGTGGCACACATCGCACGGCATTGCGACTCTCACTAATCAACTCCGGGACTCGAGTCTGGGGCAATCACGAGAAGCTTACTCCCTCGGAACTGGAAAAATCACTCCACAGGGAAAGCTGGCCTGGCAGGATGCAACCTCAGGTGCCGGCCAAGAGCGCTTTCGATTATAGGGTTACATGCGCGTCCGGCCAATGATATCCTTGGACCTCCCACGGCGTATGGCCACCCATTTTCAGCTGGACCATTGACAGTGCTGCAATGTGCCGAGATCATTCTTGACAGCCAACTAGCTTCCTATGGTGATCAATTTCCCGTCCCGGGGTTCCCCATTAGATCGCGGGAAATCATTGGCAGACCCCCGGCTGGAAGATGGGAAGGTGACATATGGTACTATTGTCCCCTTTTCTCGCTTTCCAGCTTGCTTCTAACTTCCTATTTGGACCCCACGCCTCGACAAATGGTCCAAGCGGTTTCTCTGCCAGCTGGGAGTCAAGCATTTTGTTGGCTAATCGATTCATATCTCAAGTCTTGACCCCAACCCAGGAGCATCTTATCATGCGCGCCGTCAGGGTGTTATCATGACGTTCCATTCTTTGAGAGAATCCCGCAGGGGAGGGGGCTTGGACCTGGCCCCCAAGGCCAAACACGAAACTACTACTGTGAACAAGGGGAAGTCACGGGTGAATTTGCCGAGTAGCCCATGCTTAAGCTTTTGTCTTCTGGTAGTGTGACACCCGAGCCGATTCGAAGTGGTGTTTGGCAGTAACAACGCGGGATACCAACGAACCTACACGAGATAGATCTACTGTCAGAAATCGCTGATCGGCACTCACAGTATCACTCTTCCAGAGCCGAGTGGCAAACCAACCTGCTTAGCAGCCAAAAACCGGATTATACAGCCCCTCATCTGTGGGTTCGTCGTATACGATTGTCTGATTCAACATCTTGACCAATATCAATCCATTGGTCCAAGCTTCTTTAGGGAGGAGGGCCCTTTGTCAACGTAGGACCTGTCGATATGCGGCAGCCCTGCGTCCAGCAGCCTGCCCTATTTGGTTGATTGCAACCAAGATACGAACATGACTGACTGCACGCGAGTTGACAAGGGAAAAGGGAAGGTGAGGGCGTTCGCGAGGATTACATGATTAGACGAGACAACAAAGACCTCACGAGCGTCAACTATAAAGACTACCTGTCCTCCTCTCCATCTCGTCGTTTTCTTTCCTTCTCTTCACCAGCAATCGAGACCTTCTCAAAGTCACTCTTGTGGGCCATCTGAATCAAATCATCTTCTGTGTACTTCACCAAGCAACAAACCGTCAACATGCGCGTTTCTGCTCTTCTCTCCATCCTGCCTCTGGTTGCCGCGGCACCAGCCAAGCGCGAGGAAATCGCTCCTCTCCACGTCCCCCGCGACGTCGAGGTCATTCCCGGAAAGTACATTGTCAAGCTCAAGGAGGGCGTCGTTTCCGTCTCCTCCACCATCTCTTCCATTGATGCCAAGCCCGACTTTGAGTACGATGGCAGCTTCCAGGGTTTCGTAAGAACTTCCACTTCCTTGGTCAGCCAAACTGGGAATCTGCAGATTACTGACAAGGAATCACACAGGCTGGTGCCCTGACTGAGGCTGAGGTCCAGGCCCTCCGTGAGAGCCCCGAGGTCGAGTACGTCGAGCAGGATGCCGTCGTCTCCATCTACGCCACCCAGACCGGAGCTCCATGGGGCATTGCCCGTCTCTCCAACACCAACTCTGGTTCCTCCACCTACACCTACGACGACTCTGCTGGTGATGGCACCTGCGCCTTCGTCATTGACACCGGCATCTACACCTCCCACACCGTAAGATACCCCATCACTTCGCTCAAGGCCACTGATCCCAATATGCTAACCTCCTTCTTCAGGACTTCGGTGGCCGTGCTGCCTTCGCCGCCAACTATGTTGACAGCAGCAGCACCGACGGCAATGGCCACGGCACTCACGTTGCCGGAACCATCGGTGGAACCACCTATGGTGTTGCCAAGAAGACCAAGCTCTACGCCGTCAAGGTCCTCGACTCCGGTGGCTCCGGTACCACGTATGTCCCACCAATCCCACCAACCCCCCTTGAATATAATCGCTGACAATGATGACTCTATTAGCTCTGGTGTCATTGCTGGCATGAACTACGTCACCAACAGCGCTGGCTCCTACAGCTGCCCCAACGGTGTCGTCGTCAACATGTCCCTCGGCGGCAGCTACTCCGCCTCCCTCAACACCGCCGCCAACAACATCGTCTCCGCCGGCTACTTCCTCGCCGTCGCCGCCGGAAACTCGTACGCCAACGCCGCCAACTACTCCCCCGCCTCCGCCGCCAGCGCCTGCACCGTCGGCGCCACCACCTCCAGCGACGGCTTCGCCAGCTACTCCAACTACGGCAGCATCGTCGACATCCTCGCCCCCGGCACCTCCGTCCTCTCCACCTACAACACCGGCGGCACCGCCACCCTCTCCGGCACCTCCATGGCCTCCCCCCACGTCGCCGGCCTCGCCGCCTACTACCTCGGCCTCGGCCGCGCCTCCGCCGGCAGCCTGTGCGCCTACATCGTCAGCAACGCCCTCACCGGCAAGATCACCAGCGTCCCCAGCGGAACCTCCAACGTCCTCGCCCACATTGTGTAGATGTCCCCTTTTCTTTTCGGGATATTATGTTCTGAACGTCATTGAATGTTGCAATGAAACTCATGTGCCCCCTTGACTTGGTTCTCGGGGTTCACTACTTAACGAATTGAAAGAAACATTGGAGAATGGGAAGTATCCTTTGAAGCCGTGGTCCTGTCTGAAGAGCTCCCAAAGGTCTTAGCCATATATAGAGTATCGCTCAAAATTTAGCTTTTCCCATCTAAACGCTTGATGATCCCCTTTCGTTGTGAATGCGATCCGTGATTGCTATGGAAAAGTCAATATGTGTTTCAAGCCAGCATATCTTTTGCAGAATTCTTACACAAATACCAGATGAGATAGAACCTTGTGATGAACTTTGGCGGAGTTTGATTCATGGTTGATTTTTGTCTGAACCGTTGGTTCATCTCTTCAACTATCACTGCCATATGTTATTTATCCTGGCAGACAAGACTAGAGTCAAGATCCGTAGTGAGATGTTGGATTCGAAGAGGCTCACGAGTTAGAGTCAGATGTATTGAATTGCAAGACTAGACATACTGTTTTCTTGTAGGCTCAATTGATGAGTTGTGGGAAAGGAAGACAACTGGGCTAGGACTGAGACGTGATTGGGGTTTTATTATTCCAACTCAACGCACGTGACTGTTTTAACTGTAGAACTCGATGTACTTGCCGTACAGATTCCTCATCTATCATGCTGCCCGGCTGTAGAGTTGGGGCTATTCGATCCTATTCGGGGGAACGTGGGCTTGCCTCGTCCTTCAAGTGGATGTGTATCACATGTAGATGGTGAAGATCCCCCGGGTGCTACGTTTCAGATACCTAGGCTAGGAACTATGTTTAGCGGCGCTGAAACGTTACGGGTATTGAATCCATACTTACCTGCATTGTAAACGGATAAATTCAGGCCAACTCAAGGAGAGTCCGTAATTCAACCTATCATGTGACAGCAGCATAGTATGTGGGTGGTGGCCGTATGAAGGGCCGGAGCTTAGGTGACAATGATAGAAACAACTAAATGAAATAAAATTAATAGCCATACTATTTATATTCTCATGTTTACAATAAAGTGCCCATGAGTTTTGTCTTATTAGCTCAGGGTTAAAAGAAATTGGGAAGGACGGTTAAGCGAACCAAGCGGAAGTAGTTGGATATTCCAGGTTGCTAGAAATACAAATTGCCCGGTATTTGCCCCTTACAAACTTTGGGGATTAATGTGTCCCTGGATATGACGACCTCATTGATTAAAGTGAGGACTTAGAATTTATCATGAGGACCTTGGGCTCTTGCCATGCAGCTATTTACTCAACACGGCTTTGTAGATGAAGGAAGAGAAAGAACAAAATTCCTTTCCGTTTACACTAGGTTATAGAGAGCCTAAAAAAGAGGTCATAGGATTTAATTCCAATAAAAAATGGAACATTTCTTCGATAGTGATTTGGTTGACACTAGAAGGATCAAGGCTGATGCAAAAAGGGTCTCCATAGTGTACAAAATGTTACCCCGTCTTGCGGGCGTAATGAAACCAGATAATATTCTATTAACTCTTAATTTGTTCATGAATATTTTATAGAAGATGAACAAAAACAGAGCTCTCGTATAAACAATGTTTAGCTGGTGGACGGTACTCCTGCCTCGTATGAAAGCAGTGCCTAATTTGGGAGGCTTATGGCTCACTACCTATGGTACGGCTCCTAACTGAGCATTTTTTGCTTGTCTCATTCGCTTCTGTTATGGTGACAATTCCTCCCATCGTCTTCTTCTTGTCTCGCATGCTAATATGAACAGGTGCGGCGATTCTTAGATTATCTCGTGCTCTTTTCCCACTCCAGAACCTAAGGATTTAGTGTACGCTATATATACTGCGAAGCTCCAAGAATGGTTTCAAATTCTCTTGTTTGAACGAGCACTCGAGGGCTTCCATAGAATAAATGTCTCTCGTTCCTTGATCCAAGGTAAAACAGCTTTGACTACCATGTATGGCATGGCAACAAGATAAAATCAGAAATATCAACAATGCAATGTATGGTTCACCATAACAGGCGCTATACTCATTTAGAGCAGCTGAAAGAAGGCCCATACAGCTAGAGGGGCTGTGTAAAGCATGCCATTGTTCCCCGGCCCCAGCCAAGGCGCACTACCGCCAACATCTCCTGTTGCCGAGGCTGAGCCACCTACCCCAGTCGTAACCGAGCCCGTTGGTGATGTCGTGGTGGAACTTTGGTCGCCTGTGTTTTGGTAGCGGCTGACAACAAAGTCAACGGTTTCATTGGTGTATCGTTGGAAGTAGCTGGTGTGGACGCCCGTAACATTGCCAAGGTCGCAATAGCTATCGCCTGTGTCGCAGTAAGATCTCAGACTGTCACCGAGGCTTTCGCATCTCTTCACCGAGTCGCTGTCCAGGGCAAATATCTGTGCAGCTTAGCGTCAACGCCTGCCTCTAGAGTCAAACCCGGGCTGGGTGCACCTACGCCGTTCTTTGTGCTGTTTCCCCTGTTGTAGGTCGCACTGGAGACATGGGTGGGATCGCCGAATTCGAGGATCGCAATAACTGGCAGCACGATGAGCAGTTAGCTGTTCGATTCAAAGACGGAGCAACTTTGGCGTAGAAATCTCGGGGAGCGAACCATTTTTGGTCACCTCCGTGCTGGCAATATCTGTCCCATTTCCCCCGCAAAATGCGTAAGTGGACACTTGAGCACCCTAAAATATCGATCAGCACTGCCCCCATATCCCCGGTCATACAATCCAGCCATCGGTTTCTTGCCTGTGAGTATCCAATAACAGCAATCTTGCCATCTGGGCAGGTGGAATGATAGCTATCGAGTGCACTCTTTAGAATATTGACACCCTCAGCGACAGATGATTTGTAAGGCGGGTTCGTAAAGGTAGCCGGGTAGTCCAAAGAGGTGAAATTGGAATCCGGGATGCGGCTCATGATACCCTCAGCGACTCTGTTGGCTATGCTGTTGTTGAGTCGCTCTCCGGTGCCGCGGGCAAGAAGAATCTGTAGGCCGCCGGAGCATCCGACGGCGGTTGAGGCATTTGCCGCCGCGGCTGCGCCGATGATGGCAATGGGGACAGCCGAAGTTCGCATGATGGGGATGAGTTTGACTGTACGTGTAGATTAGATGAATTGAGGGAAGTAGAAACGGAAGAGAGGAGAAGAATATCTGTGTTGAGTCCTTGCTGAATTCAATATCTTAGCTCTCTCCGCTTATTTGCGGTGGCTCACATGTAACTCTAACAAAGAACAATGGGGCGGGGATACGGTGTAATACGCCTCGGCAGGCTAAGAGTGAACTAGACTAGCGGACTCAGCTGCGTTCACTGTTTACTGTAAGAAGAAGACTGGAGTGATGCGAGTTGCCATTGCATTGAAGCGAGATTAGGCGAGATGGTGCACGAACACCCGAGGATTTGTAGCCGCTGGCCTAAAATATATTTAATATCTGTCAGTCATCACATCTCAATTACTCATCAAGCCATGGAACCTTGGCGGCCGTGGTCCTTGAATTAGTCACTGGGGCAGCACATCATGGCTAAATAGACCCGAGTCTCCTTTTTTCTACGGTAGTCTCGGAAACGGTTGACTTTGAACAACCGATGTGATTTCTGGTGATAGTACGGAATACTTGCAATTTCGTCACACTTCATATGATATCATGACCTTGAAGAGAGAAATTAACGCAGTCTGTGGAGCATACATACCCACCAAAGGACAACTGACTGCCTGTTGCGGAGATGCATTGACGATCATGGGATTTATGGCGTGGCAGAAAGTGTTGGTTGATAATCGTCATGACTAGTCTAGTGATCCTGACAAAGATATGGGTAGATAGTATGTCGAGACAGAGCCAAGTTCATCTGCTGTATCCGCATCAATGTTCTCCTTCGGCTTGAAATGACCATTTCCTTTTTCTTCAATGATATCAGATAGTGATACTGATACGTGGGCAATTCTCGACCTTGGGATATGCACTCCTGAAGGCCTTCTAATCTACTGATTGTGCAAACTAGACACTAGACATGATGCTTGTCTGGGTTGACCCGTGCCATAAGATCGCCTGTTTGCGACTGAACTGGTCAACCTTTAGGTCTCTTTGGCCGAATCGAGTTGAAAATGCGTCTCGCTGGTTGCTCATCAAGCGCTGCAACCCACATGACTGAATTCATCATTTCTTGCACATCCTTCCATTTTCTCAGACCACTCTTTTCAACATATTCCCGTAGGGCATCTTCGAGCCAGATCTCTGCCGAAACGTTGAAGATTGAGATCGCTGCGATCATCAGAAACCAAAGAATTAGATGCGGTGGCAATCTCTTAGAAAAGTCTGATTGCAGAATTCGGCCTCGGTAGGTGTGGGAAAAGTAAGAACTGACTGGCCGGATGTCATGCCACTGGAGAAAGACATGATGAGAGAATGCCAGTAGCCCGAACCGCACAGACTCATCAATCGAATCGGCAGCAAACTCCATGTGGAGGAGGCGGTACATGACTGAATTCATTGTTTCATGGATCAGCCGAGGACGCATCCGACGGCGAGTTTGTACTCCAAGATTAGCCAGTGAGCAGAATCTTCTCAACACGCGCCAAGCCACTGCTAGATCATTGTGTACATGGCACAGAAAGCTCGTATGCTCCTGAGAGCCCATGTGTTCTTCACCCGACACCAGAAGCTCCTCGGGATACGGAATTAATGATTTCTCCGAAGTGAAAAAGAAGGGCTTCAACCCATTCAGGAGAGCAATGCTCAGGTCATATCTATGGCAAGTTAGTTGGCACCCTTCGCAGTTCCAGTTTCATGGAATTACCTGCACGTCTCGAACTGGATTTCCGTCCCGTCAAAGACGTTCAACCCGCCCCTGATATCTACAATCCGGTGGACACCCCTCATATGCTGGACAGCTGTCTGCGTGTCTCCGCAGAATTGCGCGGCACTTACAAGCTTCAATATCGCCCCGAGTGTAGAGTCTGCTACTTTTGCTTTTTCATCATCACCCAGGAGCCGCTCCCGAAGGATCCGCAATCCTTTATGGTAGTGGATCATCGCGTTATAGCTAGGACTGCGGTTATACAGCAATACTTTGTTGATAAAATCTTCAACGGCGTAGACGGAGATGTGAAGGGCAGCGGCGTCACCTTGTATCGGATACAGTCGCTTTTCCTGGTCCACCCGCAGCCCGACTACGTTCAATAGGGGGAAGATGATGCCCAGGGCGACATCAGCGACTGAACAAGATCAGTTAGATTCGTAAACTTAGACATCAAGGGGTATTGTGTACGTACTTTTCGTCATGTTGAGAAGCATCGACAGCTCTATATCATCAGCAAAGTCAATGAAGGAGAGGTCTGAGCCAACGCGTCTCGGCATGGAGGTCGTGTACCGATGCCTCATCTCCTCCGCCAGCGTTGGTTCGGATTCCACCTCCTTCGGGATGGAGTGTATTACAACGGCCTGCACTTGCATGCTCTTGCGAGGACGGACCCTCTTCTTCCTCCCCTGCATCACATGGCTGCGGATAAGCTTCCTGGTGGTAGCGTCGGCCTTTTCAAGATCCCGGGAGACAATGAATGGCATCTCGGCCACTTTCGATGGGTGGCGGCTCTTCCGGCCGGCGTTAAGTCGTTCCATGCTGCTTGGTCTTGGCTTTTGTTTTGTTTGCCAGACTTGGTAAAAGGAGGAAGAAGGGTCTTTATGAATGGGTCAGTCGGCGTGGGGCCAGAGAGATGAAGATCCATGTCATCCGTCCAGCTCCAGAAAATGAAGCCTTGTGGATCAACCCCGAATGCCAAGACCATCTTTTGATTGCTGTTTGTGGTATAGCGGCGGAGTTTGCAAGGGGCCATCGGCTGGCGGGACGAAGCATCATGTACAATGCAGACGGGAGAGTTGCGCTCTACCAAAGAATCAATACATATAAAAGGATGTCGTTTCCAGGCATTGCTTCAAACTTTTTATCGCACCTCATCAGAATATCTTTTTGGATTTCACACACATTCATCTCTACCATAATGGCTCCTCGTCGAAAGTCTGTGTTGATTACCGGCTGCTCCGCTGGTGGCATCGGTGCCGGCCTAGCTGAAGGGTTCTGCGAGAAAGGATATCACGTCTTTGCGACAGCCCGCACCACGTCAAAGATCTCACAGGGCCTAGCAAGCGCATCCAACGTCACTGTTCTGGAACTCGATGTCTTGAAGCCAGAGTCCATTGCTGCCGCCGTCGAAAGCGTCAAGCAAAAAACCGGCGGTACGCTAGACGTCCTCATCAACAACAGTGGCCAAGCAGCAATCGCGCCTGCGTTGGACGTCTCAATCGAAGAAGGCAAGAAAGTTTTCGATCTCAATTTCTGGGCTCCGCTTGCCATCCTCCAAGCTTTCTCCCCGCTACTGATTGAGGCTAAAGGCTGCCTTGTCAACAATGCATCCTGTAGCGCCTATCTTCCGATGGCGCTCATGAGTAGGTCTGAAATCAAGATATTCTACAACGGCTCATCTGACATAGTAAGGTGTATATAATGGTTCCAAGGCTGCCCTGATCTCAGCAAGTGATACTTGGCGTCGTGAGCTCAAGCCCCTCGGAGTCCGGACCATCACGCTGGCCACATCCTCCGTGGGCTCTTCAAGTACTCCGACACTGTCTGAAGTCAAAATTCCCGAGACTTCTCATTACTACGGAATTAAAGATTTCGTGGAAGGCGTTCCGGGGTTGTTACGCCAGCCAGGCGCAATCACACCACGAAACTATGCAGCACGAGTAATACGAGAGGTTGAGAAGGGAACTTCCGGAACGATCTGGGTTGGTACTTCTGCCGAAATGGGTAAACTCGGTTATTATTGCTTCCCCCAATCAGTTTTGGTAAGTGGAAACATATTAGGTCTTTGATCATCCTACTAACAAGCTATTAGGATATGGTGATAGAGAGCGTACTCCCATTTGACAAGGCAATGGCCCAGGCAGCCAAGAAATAAGATGCGAAAGATTTTTAATACGAGCTAGCTATCACCATGTTCGAGATCGAAGTTGAAATAACATCTGTTGTCTACTTATTTTTGGATTTGAGGAGGGGGAGGCATCCGTCACCCCTCTCAAATCGTAAGCATTCATTTGAACAGTCGAGTGGTTGGAGTCACCCAGGAAAGCCTTTAATAATGTACAAAGAGGAAAGACACCGAATTTTTTTTAATTTTTTTTGGTATTTACCCCGAATACTGGTTCGTCGCTGATTGTTGGGAGATAATATTGCGGGTTGGATGCATCGCTCGCTCGAGAAGAATATTATTTCCCTTCGACAATACAGGGTAATGTTTATAGCATCCAAGATTACATACACAACCATCCCCGTATTTAAAACCCCATAGAGCGGGTTTGAACCAGCAACAGCAGTGTGTGCTTTTGAGTCTCTTGTCCCATTGGTGTACTTCATGTCTGGGAAGGGCACCACCTCCCTGTCCAACCATTGCTGTATTGAGAAAGTATTCTCCTAGGACCTCAATTGATTGGACACCACTGGCATGTCATCGATCGCGAGCGGCTGGCTCCGGCTGTGGGTCAAAGTGAGGGGCTGCTTGGAAATCAACAATGAGTCACTACGCCCTGGCATCTACACTCGGCCTTGATATATTGCATTCAGAGACGTAAAGTTGTCCAGAAATATCTCATCTCTTACTATCCGAGCTTTTACGATGGCTTCAGGTACATTCACCCTGATCGATATTCCGACCAAGGAACCGCGAAAGTGCTGGTCGTTGAATCCATGGAAAAGTAGGCAAGAGGTATCACCTCATTCTCTAGAGTGACAGATATGCTAATTGTAGTCCTAAGCCCGGATGCTTCTAAATTATAAATCGATTGACTACCAGACAGAATGGGTAAGGTCATGGAGGTTCCTGTGCTAGGTGAGCGAGAAGACAATTGACCACTCTCGAGAATAGGTCGAATACCCACATCTCGAGGCAAGACTCGAGCCATTGTAAGAGAGCCCTGGTAGATATGTATGTTTCTCAATACTGACATTCTGCAGTGTTGCCCCAAATGCCAATGGACACAAATTCACCAGTCCAGCTCTTAAGCTGCCGGATGGAAAGTACCTCATGGACTCTTACGTCATTACCGAAGCCATTGAGAGAAGCCATCCAACACCGAGCCTTCACCTAGGCAACTCTCTCCAGCAGCCGCTCCTTGATGCACTTGATAAATTGGACGTGGTTTTAGAGCCTATCTACAAAACCACAGTTCCCAAGGTGTATTTGAGTGAAACCAGCAGAGAATATTTCCATAGGACGAGATCCGAGCGTCTCGGCATGTCTCTTGAACAATTCGAAAAAGAAAACCCCCAAAGCCTAGTATTCAAGAAGCTTGCTCCTATCTTTGGAGAGCTGAATGACCTTGTCAAGAAAAACGAGGGACCATTCCTTTTAGGCGAGGAAGTGAGCTATGCTGACTTTATTTTGGGTGGCTGGTTGCTTTTTTACAAAGGAATGGGCGATGACGTCTGGAATGGACTTTTGGAGAGCTCTGGTGAACCAAGGCTGTATGAGTGTGTTTTACAAGCACTGAGCCCCTGGACTAAAAGGGATAACTAAACAGGAGCCTGTCTGTGGTTTATTGGTCGAGACCGAACATAACATAACCTCAAAGTCCTCAACATTAGTTTCTACGCCATGTTCACGTCAGGCAAGGTAGACGGTGGTTGAGCATAAATTGAAATTCAATATGAAATATCAGACTCTATGCCCCCAGTAAGCCTTCGAGATAAGTGCTGAAACTAGCTCATCATCATCGATATAAGGGCTTAAGGATACCCAGCCCAGTTTGAACACCTGGGGTACCGGTAGTTATCCCAAGGTGGGACCCAGAAATCATTTCCGTTCACGTAGCACCAGTCAGTGGTCAGCTAAAGTAAATCATTAGCATATGCCAAGTAATTCTGTGAAGGGGGGGCCCACCATCCAGTAGGTTGAGGAGAATGATCCGTTGGGGTATGTGACGTCCTCGCTGGTCAGGCACTGGCTCACAACAGTGTTGTTGTACTCGTATCTCTTCTGGCGAGGGCAAGCAGAGCTTGTTGTGGCCGTGGGGCACTTGTAGCAGGGCGCATACTCCTCACCAATTTGCTCTGGCTGAAGCCAGCGGCGGAGTAGGCTTGGCTGCTCGTCGTCCACGATCTCTACTTCCTCCTCGTCATCTTCCCGAGAGGGGAGCTCAACAGGGCGAGCTCCGTCATCGTCAATTGACCGCTTTGTCTCATTGATGCGTGGGCCAGGCTCAGGTCCGCAATTATCCAGCTTTTCGCGGTCTGCTGTATGTTAGCTATGCTTGGTCAATGAGAAGTATGGACTCCATAGACTTACTAGGTGCCGCCCAGAGGCCGGAGCCGGAAACATGGCAGTTATCAGTGGTCTGTAGTGTATGTATTAGCTTCACATCAATCATTACAATGGTCCAGATATTATTACCTTATACCAGTAGCTACCAATCGATTGTCAGTAATCGAGTTTCATGACGCTGGTGTTTGCCCAGACTTACGGATTGTTCAAAACTTCTCCACCCTCAGTCCAGCAGGTGAGGGTGACATCAAGATCTCGCCCGTAGAATTTCATGGACTCGGCTGAAGTATCGTAGCCCCATTTGCATTCAGAGAGGTACCTGACCTTGGCAGGCTGTTTGGTGATCTTCAGGGGGACCTTTCCGCAGGTCTTCAGATCAGTCCTGACTACATTAGGTGGTACAGTTAGCGCCGACTGGCCTGCTCAGGCAAAGGGAAAGACGTAACTCACAGTCTCCCTGGTACTCGACGAGGTCATACTCGGAGATGTAACAGTTCTCGTTTGTCTTCACTATATATCGTATTAGCATGGCCCTAGAATTAACGAGGGAAAATCACATACACCAGAGTTTAGTGTCTCCGACAGTGTCACCCCTGCATCCTAAGTCAGTCTTCGCCAAAGCCTATTCGCTCCACTGATCTCGAAACTCACTCAGCCCAGCAGGTCAGGGTAACGATGTCGCCACCCCAGGGAATGTTGACGTTGGGACAAAGGTCATAAGGGCAGGACTTGCACATGGTACTGTACTCGACAGTTCCATTGACTTGTCTGGGCTTCTCTTTGACCTCAACACTCAGTGTTTCCACGACAGGACTTCCCAGAATGGGTGTCGCGAGTAAGGCAAGGAGTAAGGACCTCATGGTGATCGTTTGATGTTCGACTGATGTGAGATGGGTGAGTTGGGCAGCCGGTAAGTCAGATAAGTAAGTCTTAAAGGGTCATCTTATATCTCAACGAACCAAAATCGAATTCAGCTCACACCGGTAGCTGCAGCCACATGGACGCTTTGATGTTTCATCCGGGCCTTTTTCTCTCAATATATTACCTCTGAAGCAAGACCATTTTTCCGCACTACGACCCACACCCGCTGCGGCTGACGGTGACGGCCCAGGCACGGGGCCAATGGGAATGCTGCCCTTTTCTCGTATATGCGCCAACTCTCTGCAATGGAAGCCCCGCCTGAGATGCAATGCACTGGAACTGGGGTCATGTATCGAGCCGTGTGCTCGATCCCCATGACATCTTCCCGTTTCGACTGCACTAGGCCGCCACTTGTGTTAGTCTGGCCCCTCGTGGCCCCTCGTGGAACCACACAGGCCATCCCTTGGCTCGGTACTTAGGAATTGAGAACGGACGACCCCTGCAGATACGAGCTCAGGGGAGGTCCGAGCCGTGAGGAAGCTGGAAAAAGTCCCGAGATCGCAGCCGTTAGCTCAGGTTCCTGCCGTTGGCCTGGATGCGTCGAGCTTACGGCTTGCCATCATTTCCTGCCGCAGTGACCCAAAACGAGCTGCAAAGCTGCACTCTCTTTCAGCCCCTCCCTGCAGTTGGGACTCAGCTGATGTGATATGTCTGCTGTCTCATGTTGATTTAGCCGTTTTAGGGCCCAAATCCAATATTGGCTGACTCCCATGATTCGATTGTGCCTGACACCGGCTGCATTCACATGCGGTACGAGGTCAATATATTACGGTCCAAAATGACTGCGCGTGCAGTAGCTCAGTTGAGCCTGAATCGAGGAACATACCATCCGCCGATCGTAACCAATTTCAGCCAAGCCGGGTGAGAGAGTCGGTCAAGTTCTAGGCTTCCAACGAGCTGTGAGTTGACGCGCTAGCAACTGAATCATGACCGCTTTGGCGCCTTTCTACCTGCAATTTCCCTCTGTCTGACTTGCCCCGAACACCCCACACATCGGATAGGGCAAACGCATGCAGAGAAATCCGAGAAAGGTCATGAGCCCACTAGCTCCGCTGCGGTTGACCGGGCCAGCTGAGAGATCTGCTGTAGGCCATGAAGTGGCCCTGAATTGCGGATTCCTCGTATTAGACTGCGTCCGCGTAGATCGGCAGTCGGCAGGGCACACAGGTCAGTATGCTTATCTCCTTCAATCCGCCCTTTTGATAATGAAGCTAACTTATACGTTAATGTAATTTATGCTTAGATCTCATACTTGATACTTTATTTTCATTTTAGTCTTTCCCTAAACCCGACGACTTTTAGCATTGTCCCACGCCGTGTCTTTAGTACAACAACACCCAACGTGGTGTCTCTGTACGTGACTCAGAAACCCGATGTGTCCCTCAATGCCTGGGGAAGATAGAGATTAAATTGTTTCCTTCAAAGATGCAGAAATCATGTTCAATTGTGGTCCTAGACCAGAGGACAATATACATGTAACCTCTGAGATTACTTGCACGCCATGTGACCACCTTATTAGTGTTGGTGAGCCAATGAATCGAGATGGAGGAAAGGAAAAAAGATGCTTTTGAATCCTTTGCTAATTGTATCCTGTCTTTATTACTTCACGCTGGAACCTTTCCTGCCCTCATAGATTTGCACCCTAGTGCTAATGTAACTCAATTGAAAGCAGCTATGTGCTGGGGACAAACAAGGTGTCAGTCATGTGGCTTCTGCATTAA